CATTCAACATTTCCTACAGAAAGTTTCAAAGAAAGAGAATGCAGCAGACTGGTGGCCACCGATTTGTCCGGAACAATCCAGTTTTACCCAGTGCAGACGGAGAAAGCAGAACGGTGCTTACAGATATCGATCGAGCATGAGTTGTCCTTATTCACGACTGGTTTCCCACATGGTGACCTCTCCTCTGTTCAGAATCGGCACGGGAGCCAGATTGCATGCAACGGTATGTTTCCAACCGTGGTAGTCAAGGTCTGGTGAGACGAGACTAGTGACTGCTAATTGATAACTAACTGGGTGAGAAAAAGGGTGATTCACAAGCGAAGTCAGTCATCCAGCACGTTTATTCAGTTTTCAGTTTCAGTTTGAACAATCATTAATCACGCATATCCGAGCGCCAGTTTTGGTTGCTGTCTTCTGGATGCCCATTCGGATGAAGAATAGCAGAAAAAAGGAAAGTGGAGTCGAACAGAAAATTGAGTTTAGTGGTCCAAGGTTGCAAAAAAATTGAGAAGACCCAAGAACGCCACTGTTTGTGACACGCAGTCATATCACTCAGTGTCTCTAACCATCGGTTACGATCATCCCGAGGTCCCCAGCCAGGGAGTGCTCAGTGTCTCTAACCATCGATTACGATCATCCCGAGGTCCCCAGCCAGGGAGCCTAACTGGACCTATGAGACCCAGTCTCCTGGTTAGGGTTTTCATACCCTCGTGGCAGGTCTTAGCTTGATCACCCTTGAACTCTTCCAACCGCTACCTGTCTCGGCAAACATCGCTCGCCGCGACAACCTATCTGGTGACATGCGTAACACATGTCCCAACCAACGTAATCTATGGAGGTCGACCACTTGCTCCAGTGGGCGACCGTATTTACCCAAAACTCTGCCCCTAACCTCAGTATTGCTCATCCGGCTACTCCACCAGATTCGTGCAATGCCGCTGCTGGTGCACATTAATTCACCGTATAAGAGATTGACGTACTCATGTAAAGATTGGGAAAAACTCCTAAAAGTCACATACCATCAATAAAAGTGTTCTCACAGCTTGAAAACCCAATGGCCAGATTACATGCCCCCGATAAATGTCTTCTGCGGAATTTGAAAAGTAGTCATGATGACTGTATGTGGTAACAAATAATCATGAAATAGCAGCAAAACACTCACTTGATTTACGAGAAGAAAACAATATTGCAGGTGTAAACAGAAAAGTAGATAGATCAAAACAGGTGGCAGAAATAGCGTTCTACTGAGAAACAATTCTTCAAACCCGTAGGGGGATCACAGAAAAAAAACGACGAAAACAGCAAGCATCGGCATGCACCTTCACTGGCCTAGAGTTGCCCCGTAATTATGAGTGAACTGTCACACTTGACGGAAATTTGTCACAGATCTTAATCGGTATACAACTGCTCCTTAGTATATAAGCATTTATTTATCTATTTGTGGGTAATGCTCGAGAACGTAACGGATACAAAAAACACCGGACGTTGGTTATCTAAGGGTGGTGGTGACCCGGTGGTAACATCACCAAATTATCACCTGGGAGGACGTGTGCTCGAATCACACCATAACCGAACTTCGCCATTGCGTAATGTATGGCAGCTTTTTGACTGACCGTTTTCCCCTTCCTGAAAGTTATAGCTGTGTAAATTCAATAAAGTGAAGTAAAAAAAAAAAGAAAAGATTCACAAGACACTCACCAGATGTTTTGATGTCTTGAACTGGAGCGACCACTGCTTCATCCTAGAAGTGTAAAAGTTGAAGCCATAAAAGCTGAGTGAAGTAACAAGTTTAACATTTATTTATTTAGTTCCGCGCTGACAAACTGTATGAGAGAGTATATTTACATATGTGCAACTGATATATTATCCACACATATATCATCATATCATACTGTATCATATTGTGTCGATGGAAATGCAGCGAACCCTAACTTGGCATCGTACAATCTTGCGCTGTTCCCCCTCTCTCTTCAAACAACTATCCAAGCTCGATAGATAGGTGAAATGGAATTCAGTTCACTCGAACTACGAGAATTAATTTTTAATATTAATAAAGATATTAGTAACATTCTTTCCCTTTGATCCATTTGAATAAAACAAGTAACACAATATGAGCAGAATTGATATTGGCCATCAATTTCGTGTGCTCTCAATCAGCTGTCTACACACATTAAATAAGTCGAATTTTATTAGAAGAATACCATATATGGACATTTACATAATTACATGGGTTCAGGCAGAAAGAACTGGGTTGTTGAATCATGACCAGATGTGCGCAAACAGCTGATTGAGAGCACGCGAAATTGATGGCCAATATCAATTCTGCTCATATTATGTTAGTTGTTTTATACAAAAAATATCGGTCATTAGCTTGAAGGTGCACAGGATTTCTTCATTTTTTAAGCATGAAACCCTTGAGTGTTCGATAAAGATATGGCTTGGTTGCTTCATCCTCATGCAGTCGAACTGATAATTATTGAGGCGAAAAGATGGGTCTGTTGATAGCCGCGAGAACCCAATGTCACCTTTTAGTTGATTGGTAATTTGCGGTCTACAACGTAACCTTGGATTTCTTATGTATAACATGCGTCCGATTCCAGACTGCATAAACTGCAAAAACTACGATATCACAATGTTTATCACAAACATTAGCGTTCGTGATTTGCTTATGGGTGGGATACTTCCGTGTTTCTCAGATCAAAGCAGATTGATTTTCTTGGGGATTGAAAACTAAAGCGTTTGGCTAGGCGCACACTGACCCATAAGGCAACAGAGTGTTACGTGAAAACGGCAATCCATTGGGGTTCGGTGTCAAGTTCATCGAATCACGTTGGTTTTCCGTCCTCTCACTTTGGACGGTGAACACCGCCACCGCCGTAAAATGAAGGGAAGGTTCCATGCATTGCACGTGACAAACAACACACGGAATGAATCCAATATTCACGAGGACCTGTTGTTCGTT